TACAAAATGCTCTTCTCATAAATGTAGTGACCCTGCCCTCAAAGTAAACATTTGGCTTCTATATTGTCAATCTCTAATCTCTTAAGAACAGGGTCATTAACTATTTCATATTATGCTTATCCCTACATAAGTAATAAGATAACTATTGGAACTTTCAGGTTTTCATTTAATGCTGCTCAATAGCCTTGATTTTTAGTTATCATTTCAATACAAAGTGTTTTTATGGAAGAGGTACGCATTTCAACATCTCTCTCTTCCTGGCTTACCTTTGAAAAATACCTTCTTCAAATTATCATAATCTCTCCTCAAGAAAGTGGCAGGATGTGTATACAGTGGAGTCAAATGACAGTCTCCCTTTGACTTGATGGGATTATCCATTCTGATAATCTTATTTCCTGAACCACCGAGTTTTTTTTTTTTGTCTTACTGTTAAAGCCATATACTCCCAGGACACATTTTCAAGGACACGAAACTGACAATAGAGGAACAAAGAAGGACTGGAATTGACAGCCCAGAAAATGGAAGCATAAGAGAGCTGTCAATTATGTAAATGTGTAAATACAGAAGCTAAGGGGCCTGAGGGAGAAGGAACAATGGAAGTTCTTACTGTCAAGAATTTAGTCGAGAGCTATTATACAAAAGCTTATGACAATCTGGTAGAGCTGAGCTGTATAATCTATAGCAACTAGCTCCACACAGCTCTTGAATACTGTAAATATAAAATACCAACAAGATTTTGAAGACTTCATATGACAAATGAATGTAAAATATTTCATTAAAAATGTTATATTGACTACATGTTAAAATAATAATGTTTTGGTTTTATGAGTTAAATTTAGAAAATTTAGCCCAATAAAAATTATGTTTGTTGTTTGTATCATATGTCTGTTGGACAGCACTGCATTAGAAGGTATGAAATAGTGCCTTTTGTTTGAGTAAATAAAAGGTAACATTTGTTCATTCACCCAATATTTACTAAGCACCCACAGAGTTGTCCACAGAGACCTCTCACTAAACCAATTTAAAGTTAAAGCATTTTACAGTTATTTTAAAACCAAATAGGCAACTATCCTAGTAAATTTCTAAACCACAGTGATCAGTATGATGGAACACACTGGTCAGATGAAAAGAATGTACACAACAAATACACACACATTAGGTAGAGAAACATCAAATGCCCTGAAGATTTTAAAATTTAGAGCTGATATTTGAAAGTTAGAGTTTACTATTAGAAAGCAGCTGAAAAAAGTTTTCCACTTTCCTTGAAGAAACTTTTCTCTGATTCCATCCATTTTCAATTTGGAATCACTAGGTCTCCCCCCTAAATCTTCCAACCTACCCTACGGTGGGACCTAATCCACTCAAAACAGCACTGGTGTAGGAATGCTTATAGAGAAATGTCCACCTTGAAATACAGTTCAGCAATTCGTGTTAATAATGTTCCTGTGCCTCAACTCCCTTATTTTTAAGATGGTGACCTACATCATAGGAGACCAAAAGGAGCAGCTAGATACTTTATAATGAGCATCAAGAAATCAGAGCTTTCATTTTCTAGAAATCAAATCTGACAGTTTTGCCTCATTACGTCTCCTCTTTGCTTATCCCCAATGTCTTCCAACTTAAGATGCATGAAGTACATAGCTGGATTTTTTAATATGCAATTATCTTGGCAAAATTCTTAGGATTTTCCTTTCCCCAACACTTAATACTCATATAAATGCTCACAGTGTATCGGCAGTGCCAGCATGGCAAATCACTTATCTTAATTTTCTAAATAATCTATACATACTGAGTCATCTCCAAAATCTATATATGGGGTGAATTTAAAGAAGAAAATTAAGAATCAAATGGAAATGGAACCCTAAGGCAGAAGCTTTATATGTAGACAGTTTCCCATGTGGCTTGAAATATAACATTGTATTTTCTAAAAGGCAAATATGAAAAGCGCTATGAAACATACTTAGTTTTTCAATTAGCAGATCAAGAGGCAGAGTTAAAAAGAATCACATTTGCTTCAGAAGCATACTTCAAGAGACCACGGCAGTAAATTTAAAAAACCATTCCCCTTCAAATCATGTAAGATGTCCCACCCAGAGAGATTAAGATTAATATCACTCTCATCTCCATCCAACAGCTAATTTTTATTAGATAAGTTTTATGTTTTGTTTTTAATTGGACTGAGTGATATTTCTCATATGGGTCAAGACCATAAGTGACAATGGGCTGTCTATCTTTACTCACTTTTTCTTCAAAACAGAAAACAGAAGTTTATTTGAATTTGGAAAATATAACTTCATAAAACTTTAATTTGACAAGAAAACATTTTTACTGGTAAAATTATTTTATTACCATTAATTTACATGGTTGCAAAATAATGGGAATTTCCATATATTTGAATTACAATTTAATATCTTAAGTTTTCTCTTAGATATTTTAAAGATATTGCAAGGGTGGGATTTTAAAGAAACGTTTACTGTGTTTGCATAACAAAGAATTTTGAAAAGCTCCTGAAGTTTCCTTACCTTGCACTCATAGAGAACACACACTCCAGTAGAAGAATAGACTGTATTTCTTTCTCCCTCAAAATAGGTTCGTCCTTGAAATTGGCATATTGCTTTGGAATAAAAAAAAAATATTTAAATTTATTTTTGATTTTTCATTAGGAAGAACAGCTTAGGAGTGTTCAGATTATTCTGCAACAATATTTCAATGTTCCCCTGCCTTTTCATGGTGTTTGAATACCTATAAACCAAAATTCAATCTAGCGTAAGACACATGCAGGCTCGAGTTATTATCATGCCCTTTGGGTTCAGAGTGAAAATAAGGTACAGAAAGGATACGGGGCAACAGCAAGTCAGAATTGGACTCTGAAAAAGGAGTGCCGATAAGCAGACTCTCAGCCAATTATTTGCCCACTAAATCACGTCCCACGAAGGGGATATTAAGCAGGTGCTCAGGGCAGCTCCAAATCTGGGTCACGAGACAAGCTCACTTCATATATACCACTACAGAATTTTAAAACAGAAAATTAGAAAGAAGCTATCTTAATTTCAGCACATACATGTAAATGTTATGTTTTATGTTTAGTATTATCTTATTTATAAGTGCATGTGGGTGTGGGCACCCTATTTAGGATGTTGAAACATCTTACTCAGGGCCTGCCTTGCTTCCATCAAAATTAAATACCATTGTAAAACAGAACTTCAGATTTGATGGGGAGAACAGTTTTAGTGAAAATATATAGAATGCATCCAATGACTTTTTAAGACTTTCAAAATATTTACTTAAGATTCACACAAACATTTAGCCAATGGAAACTGTTCAGTTTGAAATGAATGCAACCCACTACCCATGTTGACTCATCACGTAAACAGAGACAGATTTAGCATGAAGCTAATGAAGTTCAACCTTCAGCATCAGTCTCTGACTTAGACCCTCTTCGAAGACTCTGAACTAACTTTTGTTTTCATAATTTTGCATCGTTTTTCTTTGAAAGGGCACTCAACATTGTAGATATTTTGAAGCCCCACAACATGTATATCACCTCAAGCTAATTACTTCCAAAGACCAGTGGAAGTAATCATCTGACAGGGGAAGACTCAAGCCCTTTGTCAGCCCCACTTACAAAGTCCAATTTTCAATTTTAACTATATGAATTTTACAAAGTTGGTGTGTATATTTCTCTTTAATTTCATTGTAAGAATGGAAGAAAGCTTTCATCTTCAGAATTCATAGTCATATCACCTTTTTAATAAGGAAATTAGACATATTTTCATTAATAACATTAAATATAGATATGGTTGTATAAAAATTTATATTTAAAGTGTAACCCAATGTTCACCTTTGTTGAAAAATGAACTGATTATTTAAAAGATGTACATTTACATAATGAAAGCATGCATATTTTTAAAATGCCATCCTACAACTGATCTCCTTACTCAGCTTTTATTAATAATTTCACTGCACAATATATATCACTGGCAAATTGATGTTCAAGTTTTTGGAGCATGCTGGAAAAGAATACAACTCACTTGCATAAATTATACTACTTAAAACTGGCTGAAGCTTGATCACTCATGAATATTCAAAGTAAAACTACAAATTTGTCAGCTGCATACTATCTGTCATATTATGACTAAATAGCATGTGCATTTACTTAATGAGCTTGACTGATTATAAAATATATCTCTCCAACACATAATTTTTAAGTGTGCTTTTTTTCTCTTATGAGATTCAGTAACCTCAAAATACCAAGATCTGGCATATTATGTATTCAGTTATACTTAATAAGTGCCACATTTTATAAGATAATGAGAATAAATAACTTTCTTACTCCTATTAAACACCTGCCATTCAAAGATTTCTGAGATTATTAGGTAATGTGATAAGTACAGCCTATTTTAATTCCAAGGGTATGTTGAAGAAAAAAACTGATGCTCCAAGCCTTTCCTAGAACTGCGGGGAAAGGAAACACTGTAGAAAACACAAGGGTAAGTTCTCCTTATGCAAAGTCTTAAGATAATTTAATATTCATGCAGAGCAGATGGACTGTCTGTTCTAAACTCTTAATTCAAGAGACTCAAATAGGCAACTTGTGGGACGACAGGACACCAAATGGAGTTTGGCAGAGCGAGGAAGCACAAAAACAAATGAGATCACAATGGCTTCATTTCCTCTCAAGCAATGAGCAAAACAGGGTGAACTCAGCTTAGGGAGAACTCAAAGTAAGTGATTTTCATCTTGAACTCAGAAAATCTGTAATCATTTCTAAAAATACTACAAGGAGTCCAGAAAATACCATTAGGCTGGCTCCAGGATTTAAGCGTAGATTGAAGGGGTAAAAATCATGTATTCATTAATACGTACTGAGTTCCTATATGTTGGTAGTTGCTAGGTTCCAGGATTTGATGATTTATCAGTTAAGCAAAGTACATTTTATGTACTTTACTGTATATATGTTACGCTTTGATTTTTTTCCTTTCCTTTTTTTTTTTTTTTTTTTTTTGTGCACCGTTCCCAGAAGTACTGCAATGCTGGGTCGATGCATGGAGTGGGTGGAGCAAGCTCCTATTTCATCTCTCAGCTCCAAAAATCCATTTAATATAATGTCCTTAAATAGAGGATGTATCAGATATTAAACTGGTAAGAACAGATACTACACTTGATCTTAGCCAAAAGGCCGAGAAGCAATGATTTTTAAAAATGAAAATAAATGCTGATTCTTATGTTCAAGGGAAATAATAACAACAATATTAATTTATTGGAAAAAAAGATACATGAGACATGATTCCTGCCCTCACTATGAAGTAGGACAGGCTTATATGCAAGTAACTACAATAAAAGCCAAACTGAAGTGTTAGAATTGAGTAATTTGTAAGCTATATGTTAGCACAGTAGTGAACTTCTAAGAGGGGACAACTGGATTAAGGCCGAGGAAACAAATCAGGCCTGGTGAAGGACCCAGACTCTGGCAAGCCGGAAGTCATCATCACCATAGGCTAGGCAACAAGGAAAGGAAATGGTTTTACTAGAGCCCAATATGAGCCACCTGTGAAGGAGAGGCTGCCTAATGAGAGTGCAGTCATGAGGCACACAGCTACTGCCAGAAACACAGGCTGGTGCAGCGAAGGTGCAGGGAAGAAACAGGGCCAACTCCCTCCTCCTGCCTTCCAATTTCCTGCCAGTCCTCCCGTTGGCAAACCCTACCCAATGCCAGCTGGCAAGGAGACCAGGGTGATGCAGTTTGCAGAAGCCTGGCTCCTGCAGCACAGAGGAGGGAGGAGAAGGAAAGAGAATGGACCTGGGAGCGAGGGGTACCCAGAAAGAAGACCCAGCAGCCAGCCCAGGTGGCTATCATATTAATTCACTTTGCACCATGAAGAGGTCTAGCTTACAAGGACCTGTGGCTTTGAAGGGCAGGAGAGAGTGGAATACAGAACAAAATTTTAAGGGGGAAAAAAATGGAGACAGATAAGAAATGCAGATCCACTTTAAGAACAAATCCAGATAGCTTATCAAAACGAGGTCCACAGGCAGGCAGAAGGCAAGGGGAAGGAACTGAGCCCTGGAAAGATCAAATATAACAGGAAGGAAAGCAGAGTAGGGCTACTGCCCAATTTTAACCAACGCTGCCCCTGCAGGTATCACAAACAAAGCCTCAGAGACAATAACAACAATAATCACTGCGGGTACTACAATGACTGCAAGAAAAGTCTCTAGAATCCCCTGACATGTACCTGCCTGCTTACCTTTTCCCAACGGAGTGTAAAGTATGAGAAATCACTTCCCCAACCAGATAACAAAGAAATAATCATTCTGCTGTAGTGACTGCTTCTTTAATTTAATTGCATTCGCATGTTCATAGTCAAAGACTTCCGCTTTCCACTTTGGATGCTCGTATGTTTGCGTGAGTGTGTATACATAGCACTAAGTTGTTTGAGATCCAACGCTTGATTACTATGTCCCAAATCATTTACCAGCTGAAAGCAGAACTCTATCAACTAGGCTACATTTTTAAACATCTATGTTTAAATGATTTACTGAGAATATTGCATATATATGTTACATGTATATTTTAAGAGAAATTGCTAGGGAAACAAATACTAATTAATGCATACAGGCTTATCACTTTGCAGACAAAAAGCTAGGCCCCCATGAAATCAAACTAACCCATAGCACTATATCTACTCTTAAGTTAGTATTATTAATCAATGTTAAATGCATATTTACTATGCCTGTGGTGTATGCTGCTTTTTGTACAATTCACATCACAGTCTATGTGAATTACGTCACCAGAGCTGTCCAGTTTACAGACTCTTCGGCCGTAGGTGGGGACATAATTAGAACCTGGGGAAATTCAATAGGATGATGTAACAATTGTTATATATGTTTTACTAGGGCTATATTAAACATCACTAATTACATACTTACTAGCATCATAATTAAGAGAGACTCTAAAAAGGCAACTAATGTAAATTATTTTCTCTTCATTCCCCCTCCCCACCATTATAACAATTAAGAAGAATTAGAAAGACAGGATATGGTAAAGGTGCAAATTTGAAAGTCATCAGTTGTAAAAAAGTAAAAAATGATTTATAGCACAAATTGCGAAACAGGCAAGTGAAAGAAGCAAGTAAAACACTAAAAATACTAAATTACACATTAAAATTCTGATTAACTGGTCATTAATTCAGAGAGAGAAAATGCAGATCCCTTTAATGAGACTTCAATCAACTTCTATACACCTTTGTAGGATGAATTATCCAAATCCATAGAAAAATATTTTGAACATAATAGCAAAAGGACATCATATCATATTTTACTTTAAAACATTCTCTCATTACATATTTAGCTTTTCCTTTTTATCACTGGATTGAAAAACCATGAGTCTATTTGAAACTTCCCAATTGGTATCAACACCTTTAAAAATGATCCAGCACACAATCAAAAGTTATTGATACTAAGAAGAAAACCAGTATAATTCACGTAGGTGAGAAATGGGATTTATGGTTTCTTTTAAATTCCCTTTAAAAACACCAGATATCAGTGATTTTTAGATTGTTTAAGCCATCTGTTAAGGAAAGAGTTGTATCTAGCAAGCTTTTATATGATGTTCTTTGAAATCTTGATTTCCTCTGGGGGGGCTTTTAAAGATCCCGTGTACAATGGCAATTCTTTCATTCTGAGCCAACATGATAGGTTAGTGAGATACAAATCAAATCTGCTGGATGAAAATATATCTCATGACTATAATTATGTATATTTATATTTTTATTTCAGCTTTTAAAATGTACAATAAATGCATTCATGAAGCAGGCTAAAATTCTGTGGAGTCAAACAAAAACATCTGAAAGTGTCTCAGTATTAAAACACTGCAACCCACAGTCTTTTTTGTCATCTGGCCTCACTTGGGCTGGGTTCTTACCAATATGGTTGTAATAAAACTCTTGAGCGCGAACTGCTATAAATTAATATTTCCCTCTTTTACAATGTGTAAATCTCTTTTAGAGCACTACATACAATGTCCTTTTCTCTATGTAGTTGTACACTTTTTTAATCTCTCCCACATAAGGACACGGACAACGAGTGTCTTATTTGTCTTTGGATCTTATTCAGTACCTGGCACTGGCCCTGCATAATAAACTCGAAAGGTTTGTTGAATTTTTTTTTAAGTTCTCTTCCAGCTTCTTGTTTGATGAAAAGCCTGAAAACAACTCGACTGGACCTCTCTGATCGTCACATTTCCATTTAAATTTGGCCTCATCCTTTGATTTTTGCATCTCATAATAAAGGTTCTCTAAACTGGGTCTCCCAGAAATAGTTTGCCCTTTTGGTAACTTGGCAGCTTCTTTTCCTCTGCAGTAGAGCTGAAGCGCCTGAGATGGGAGCAGGCTGGTCTATCAGCTAATGAAAAAGCAGTCGGCTACTGCCACAGCAGTAAGGCACTAAGAGGAATAACAAGGTAGCGTTCACAACAGAAGACAGCCTGGACAGCTGAACGGCAAAACCTCCTTCCTCCACGTAGAACTGATTTCTTTGAGTCACTATTATTTAAAGTGATCAGAATTTCAGAGTATTTAAATAATTCACAAATTCATTCATTACACGTAATTGTTTCCTTTAACTAAATCTCATTAATTGTTTGGGAATTTAGTTGTTTGCAAAACTAATTACTATCAGAGTTTAGGAAAGGAGATCATGAAAATATATGCACAACTCGCTTTCTCATTTCATATATATCGTGTCCTTGGGCTCCTAAAGGATCTAATCATGCTTCTCCGAGGGGGCCTTAATTTAGGTCAGTAGCCTTTTCTTCCGAAAAGAGAACTGGCCCTTCAACACCATAAATCCAGCAGTAGCAAGGGGTTAAGAGGCAAACAAAAATAACTTCAGAAGAGAAAAACAGCAGAAATTCAGCCTTTGGGTTAGAAGGGCTATGTGTTCTGGGAAAACAAGAATTGCATATTCAAAAGACAAGAACAAAAAAGGCTAATTTTATAGCTAGAAGGAGGAACTCAGTGCTTTTGTCCCTAATCTAATTTTACCCATTTAAATTGTGGCTTAGTATATTCTGAAATTCTTTTTATTTAGCTACCTTTCCATCACTGGCCTTATTGTTGATCCTGGCTTAGAATGAAGTCTCTAAATAATACAATGTAATCAATTCATTTAATCTCCTGGTGATAAGAAAAATAAATCTAATGAGTAGAAGTAAAGATCTGGAGAAAAACACAGTATTCATATTAATACCTGAATACCATTTAAAGTGACAGAATAAGAATATAACATGAGATTACAAGTTTTATCATTTTAAAAGAAAACAATGGATAACATAACATGAAAAAGTTCATACATTATCAGTTTCAAAGCCAGAACTAGAATTCATCTGGAAGTCCTTGTGTGTATCTTTTCTTACCACTAAAAATCCAATGAACTCTGTCAGAACTTTAACTCTGTGAAACATTTTTCCAAAACAACTGGCACCTTTTAGAACGAGCTGTTGAACACAGAAATGTTTTGTAAGTGTGAAGCATGATGTTTTTCATTGTTAACCACATATTAGTGCTCAATTAAGAGATAACAAGTAAAGACCCTGAAATAGTGGTTGTTTTGGTTTAAAAACAGCTTCTTGTGTATGTGCAAAACATAGAGGAAAAGAATTGGGGCGGGGGGTTGCTCCCTCAGGAGGACATATTTTAAATGCAGCTTCCTAAGAGGTATGTTAATAACTCCTCCCATTATGCCAAGAGCGTGAGCCAGGGGAAGAGAGGAGGCACAGGGTAAAGGGAGCCAGATCGGTGTAGAACGAGGCATGTAGAAGACACAGCCAAATGAGGACAGAGGGGAGAGCTGTGGAAGTAGCAGGGACAGAAAACTGTTAAGGCATACTTGAGAAGGAGCAGGAGAAAGGAAAGCAGAAAGCAAAATAATTTCATTAGAGACTTTTAGCGAGAGTGGCAATACCTGGCGGAAAGAGGAAGCACTTATGATAACCTACTGTCCCCCAGCCTCTGTCCTAGGAAGGTGCCTTCCTGCCTTGAAGGAGAATTCAGCCTAGCTTGAGAAACAGAGGAACACATGTACGACTAACTGCATTCAACTCAGAAGCAGTGTTGGAAAAAAAGGAAAACAAAGTCTTGCCAGGGTGGAATTGGATATGCTTCACAGATGAGGAGCAATTGAAAATGAGCA